ACACAGAAAATAACCCACAACTGGTATGTGAATATGTCAATTTAAATTCCTAGTTTATCCCCCCCTTTTTTCACTCAGAATGTAAATTATGCCAAATGAAATGACCTCATAGAATACCTTTTTGTAATCCAAACATGATTTAATATTTAAGTCTAAAGAAAATAACTTGTGATCAACATGAAAATAGCTTAGGAAACATAGTGGATTAAGGGTAAGTTTTGTAAGAGCAATTGAACAATTTTTTGAATATTGTGTGCTTTTATCTCTGTAACCTCATTTAATGATGAAGAATAATTTTGAAACTTATAAATAGCCAGTTGAAATTATGAACATATATAACTTAGTGGCCACTGAACACATTCAAGTTAAAAGACCATCATTTCCAAAGGCTCAAAATTCTAATTTCACATAACCTCTCATTTTTCCTTTTTTTAAGTGTCTAGTTTAAGGCAGATAATACACTCAAATTAGACACCAAACTACCTCTTAACAGAATCAGAACCTTTCAGGATGGGTGCTTTGTTGTTGGGGTACAAAATGTAATTTTTTAGTTCATTTCCTTTCCTTGCTTAAAATTAATAAAATTACTAAACATTTTATCCTACTATTTTAGTAGTTGTTAGAAAATAGACCTTGGATGCAGTTCTTGAAAAAATATGAAAGGTTGGAGGTGTCTTATTGACTCCTTTTTTCATGTTGTCTGTGTTAGTAGGCTGAGGTTTTGCATGCATATGGATGAATTTCTTCCAGTGTTATGTGTTATGTGTACTATCTCTTTGGGATATGTCCTGGGCAGGGTTTATATCTAAAAATCCAGTCCACAACTAAGAATGTCCAATGTGCTAATTTCACTTATCAGCATCACTTTAAGGGGAGAAAATAAGTCCTGACAACAATCACAGCTTAAACAAACATTTATCTCCTATAAATAAAATTCATATTTTTAATAATCTCTATAATACCACAAAATGAAGAGAGAAGGAGTAGGAAATAACAGTGTAAACTTGGCTGAAAAATAGGCCTTGGTGATAATAAAACTATCAGGACATATTTTTAAAAAACGAAGGAGAATTTAAAGTGGTTTGAGAAACACTTTAAATGAGGTAATGAGGAGAAAACAAAATTAAAAATGACCAAAAAAAGGATTTAAAATGGGAATAAAAAGGTATGCATTGACCAACATCAGGGAAGGAATGAACCATCTTGCAAAATCAGATATCATGTGAAAAAAACAAATGCTGTGGA